TCCAACTGAAACTGTTCTATGATTCTATATATAAAAATACATATGATACTGCCTCTCTACAAGAATACATCGTCATTTATTAACCAAACCTGAATTCAGCTGTAGAACCTGACACATCTTTTCTGAGTTTTTACTGCTCAAAGGAATCTAGTAGTACCGACCTTCACACCTGCCCAGCCTCCTTTCTCACAGAGGCATTATGCTGGCACACAGTGTCCAGGATTGTTTTATCTGGGTGGGGGAAGGACAGCTAAAGATTCTAGATCTGGAATATGAACATCAAGCAGCTTTTTCCAGCTACATAAACAATTACACCACCTCAAGGCACACCGATCAGAAAGGTCCATTCTTCCTACCACATCATAATGATACATGTTTTCTGTGCAGCCAAATATATGTTTATGTACTTTTCCTTTGATGTTACTCAGACGAAAATAAGGAAATAATTAAATATTGACCCAATAATTACCTCCTGCTTGAAAAGCAAAGTGGTGAAGATTTTTTAAAGTAATATGATGAATGAGATGACAAATACTTTACAAAGAACAGTTTGATTAATAACACTGAACGCGGTTTCAAGGAATCATGCTACTAACTGCATAATATTACTTATAAAGAATTTATAAAGTTATTCTTTCTATTACACAATTTAAAGAAAGTCTCAAGAGCAGAAGAAATAAATCAACTTTAAAAATATTTTCACTTAAGATTTTTGCAGTATATACCTCCTCCTCCTACAAAAACCCAGGAAATCGCAATGAAAAGAGTAACAAATTAACATTTGAAAAAATAATAAATTAACAATTCGGCTCTCAAAAACCAAGGAGAATATAATTAGTCTCCAAGTCAAAATTACAAAAGAGAGAAAATAAAAATTGCTTTGTCAATTCTGAATGTTTTCCATTTTCTACTACTACAAAAATCCAGAGTTTCAAAAATCATATTGATGCTCTACGGATCTAGAGCAGCACCAAATACCAAGCCACTGCATTTCCCCATCGCAGCTCAGTAGGCGGGAGCTCTGGGGAAGGGTGTAGGAGGAGGGTGTGGACCCCAGAAGGAAGGACAGTACAAGTGAAGTGGGTGTACAGACTGAAATGATCATGCACAAAAGGGACAATGTGGAGGTGGACAGATTAATTAAAAAAAATAGTCAAGGAAAGGATAGAGGGTTCCAGTGCAAGTTATCTTTAGAAACTGCTCATTGGAAGTCACAAAGCTGGCAACAGAGCACAAACCTTCATATGCCTGTTTGCTGTTTCTGTTCCCAATAATATAATCTCGTCAAGCCTTTCTGACCTCTTGGCTTCTGAGCAACGTGTAACTCCATAGGGCAATTTAGCTGACCTATCTCAAAACGGTCTGAATCACCCTCTGTAGGTGCCTGTCTCTGCATTGGCTATGGAGAGAGGCTAGACACCTAGGCTAGACTGTCTGTCTTAGACAACTAAAGCTCGAACCCAGCCCTCAGCCTTTTTCATCTTCTCATGAGGAAGTGCAGCCTTATGTTCATTTTAGTCATCCTGTGCACCCAGCTTGTCTCCGAATTCCCCTGACTTCAGCATTATTGTATTGTCAGATAGCTGACCAGAACAGAAGACAGTATTCCAAGACAAGCCACTGATTTATAACAGCACCACACCAGTTTCGGTACTTCCCATCACATTCTTTGCAGACTCCATACTGCCATGAACAGGTTGTTTTTTCAAACATTACTGCATACTGTGGCTAGATTTGCAGTGAGCTACCTATGAAAAATATAAGCACTCAAGTTAAAGGTCTATGCACAGACCAGAAATTCAACAACTTGTGTGAGGTATTTTTTTAAATGGTTATTAGTTTGGTTTTTTACCCACAGCAGAGTATGCCTGCCATCATAACAGCCCCTCCTTTTACTGCAACTCTTCCAAATCCCCTCGTCTTCTCCGATCTTGACCAGCTTAGACAGTTTTGTGACAACTGCAAATATTGCCTCTTGGCTGCTTCCTCCACGTAGACAAGAAAATCATGGTCACATTTTCACCTTGTCTTACACATAATAAGCAGTTTGATGTAGAAATAAGAAAAATCAAATTTTAATTTATTCAAAACCAACAGTAATAAACATAATATTCAGTAAGGTGAAACAATCAGTCAAATATTTCATTATGTAAAAGAGGTCCCTCATGTTTAGGAAAACTAATACTTGGAAACTTACCTTATAGTCAGATAACAGTTAACTCTGTTACCAACAGCAAAATAATCAGCTGCAGTTAGAATGTCTATGCCATGTGGAAAAGTGCCCTACAAACATTATAGGGAAGAGGGGAAAAAAAGAAGAAAATATTATTTTAAAATGTAAAATACTTTCCAAATTGGCAACATCATTGAAAACAAACCTCCTACTACTCTCCAAGCACTGAAAAAATACAATTTAATTTCGAATTTGTAGTAAAATCACTTGTACTAAAGATACAAAGGAGATTGGATATATAAACAGCAAAATACCTGGCTTCATGTATGAGTCAATGATAAACACTCAAAGTATATAGCAGGAGGCAATAAACTATGCAACAGCTATCTTAACACCATATCCAAATATATCCAAGTCATATCCAAATATATATTTGTAAATGCATGACTATGTGTGTAGACAGAAGATGATTTCTCTAAAAGAAGGTTTAGATAAATGTAAACATGTTTTCAGTTTATGTGAGGGAACAAGTGGCTGCTGCAAGTTTTCTGAAGCATAAAATCAGAGATTTAGGCACCAAGAAATGCATCACGTGTAGGATACATGGGAGTGCAATTACTTCTATTTTTATTTTCTTACGCATATATTTTATGACTTATTTATTAATGAAGTAAAAATTTGGGGTTAGTTTGTTTTTAAAAAGAACACCGGTTCGCAAAGCCTGCAGCATTCAATCCCACAGAAGTATCACACTTCTGATATCATTGCTGAAAAAACACTTTTAGAAGATCACCGTTCTAAATACGCAATTGCCACCTAAAAGTTTGCCTCTTTATATAAGCAATACATTTCAGACATTCAGAATTTTGACTGGCTATGACTGCTTTGACATAGTATTACGCAGTAAGGCTGTGTTTTGGAACAGAGGAGGCTCCATAGCCTCCACAAGCCGTAATTAAGCACAAATGGAAAACAGCCAACTGGAAGACACTATGCTCACTTACAAAAGGGACAATCATATGATATTTAAGCAATAAGGCCATGTGGAAGTACAGGTTCTGGACGTGATACAGTTTTGTTTGTTTACAGCTCACTCATGCCTTCCACATTAGGATACAGCCATGCAAAAATAGTAGAAAATATCTCTAGATCTAAGCCTGAATAATTAAAGAGGTATATACTGCAAGTAGTGGGAAGTTGTCAGCTACTGTGGAGGTCTTATTCTGGGAAGCATAACAGTCCAAAAAAACAGGGCCTGGAATCTGGCTGAACCAAGAAGGATAGACAGAACATTTATGGCTTATCCAAGAGACGACCTCCAAGCCCTAAGAACTCAAAGGTGAAATGAAAATGCTCTCCAAAAGACTAACGAAACACTGATTAGGGAGAAAAATGCACACATGAGCAACCTCAGTATGATTTATAGCCAAACAAGACATATGATGAAATATCTAAGAATGCATACTGTACATAAGCAAAATCCCAGCTAAACAATTTCAATTCTAGCTGCTAGCTGGACCTTGCTATTTATTACTTGGCTGTAAGTGTGCCTGCCAATTTGATGCCATCTCACCAAAGGTCATGGTGCCACAGTGCATGTCAATGAGACAGCAAAATTCCTGACAGCAAGTTCATGAGTACAGAGGTCATGGCCAATGGGAGAGACTCCAGAGGAAAAGCTAACAGTTTCTATTCTGTCAGAACACTTGGAACTTCTCCAATATAAAAGTCTGTCTTACTAGAAGTATGTGCATTTCTCATGATTTAAGCTTTAAAATAATACTTCACATTTTTCAAACATTTCATTTGTATGAAGTGACCATGGCTCTTTTCTGAGGCCATGAAAACATGCTCTCTGATTCAGCACATGCTGAATTGCAAAGGTGAAGCGGGCAGGAACCAGGAAGCAGGCAAGGTCCAGTTTTTTTCTCCACCTATTTAGTATCAGGATTGTTACTTCCGATGGAGAATATGTTTTAGCACCTTCCAATTCAGAGAAAGAGGGTCTCTTTCAAAAGGTTGCATCCAGTGAAAGAACCACAGAGAGTGTACCCACTGATTAAGTAACCATTTTCCTAGGCAGTAAGGAATGGTTTGGTAAGTAAAACTTCTGAACTTCTACAGGACCCAACTGGAGCCTGATGGCGTTCTTCATGCCATGGAAACTTACTATTTCACTGCAAATTCCTCCTTAACATGCCAACATGTAAGCTAAAATTGTTGTGTGTTCTACCACCACTGACAAATCTGATTTGTGGGTCAAAGCAGAGTCAATAAGGAAACTTTCTGGTTCTAAACCCACGTAGACTGTACTCCTCTGACTAAGAAATAAAATACTCCCCACAGTTTTTGCTACATGGAAGCATCTCTAAACACGCAGCACCCAGGAGCCCTATCCCACCTGGAACTGAAGTCCCAGTAAGGTGTTTACTTCATTCAGCACCTCACGAGTGGAATCAGGCTGAGTTGCTGTGTGATGACTAACCTCTGCAGGGCAGTAACTATAGACCCAGGGAGGAATCATGCTGGCTTATACTTATCACAGACCTAGGTGGGTCAGGTCACCAAAAATACCTACCCTCTTCCTCCTAGTCTTCTTGCACCCTTTCTCTGCTATTAACTAATTCATCTAGAAATACACAGAGCAGTTACAGACACATTGCTTAATACCCATAGTTCTAAAGGAATAACAGCATAGGTCCTAACACAGAAATTCCTCAGGAATGAGACCAGGGAAAGCTAGACACCATTTTACCAAAGATCCCATAAAGAATGGCTTATTGATAACGAAATTCGGTCTAACCATGTCACAAGAATTCAGTAACTGAACAGTCTCCCCTCCCTTTTTCTTTTTCCTTTGAGTTGTACATTCAGCTTTATTAATTGCTGATGAGAAACCAAGGAAAAATTGAAATCCAAGTCTTTACTCTATTTGCTTCTCCTCCAAGGTTGCAAATTGAAGTGGTCTGAGCATTTTAACCACTTAAATGTTGCTAAGTTATATAGGAACCTACCAACCTACCACAATGCTTTTTTTCAAAGCAGTTCAGTATCTCCAAAAGTAACAAATTTCTCAAAATATGTAGATGGCAGCAACAGGCAAAGCCAAATACTGAGTTAACATTCTTGAGCCTAGTTCATTGTTGTATCATCAACCACAGCACATTGCTGCTGTTCTATTAAAAACTAGAAAGTCAAAGAAACAAAAAAATAACAAAAAAATGGAACTTTTCCTGCTTTGAAAGCATTGCAGTCTGCAAGGTGTATAATGCCTGTCATACATGCTGATTTTGCTTTTCAGAATGACTGAAAATTACCAGAAAGCTCACTTTCTTCCAAAACTAGAGAACTAAAACAAAACTCACATCTCAGAAAAATGTTCCACAAGAACTTGTTTACTGATAACAGAAATAATTATTTTGTGCCATCCTTCTACACAATTCCTCCAAAGACGCAGTGTCTAATTTTGATTTTAGGTACTACACGTTTACAGTAACCTCCAAGGCACTAATGAATGAAGATTCAGGAAAGTTACCATACCTGTCTCCCAACATTCTCCTGGAAGGCAGCCTAAGGAACAGAGAACAAACATACCAAAACGAGTCAGGTTTGCTTTTTGATAAACACCAGATGATGAATTCAAAACACACAACAATATAAATGACCCATGGCTTTTCTTTTTTAAATAAAGTAAGCTTTGTCAGTAGAACAAACCCACAGGGCTTTTTTGTTTCTGCGTCTCTATGTTCTGCTGTCCTTAAAGCTGTATGTTGCATGACAGCCGTTTGAGAATGCAAGTTTATTAAACTAGTCACACCCACAAGAGTGCTTTTGAGTAGTGACACAAGGCTTCGCACTGGAATTGAAAGTCAATACCTGTAGACAACAGAAATTGAGACAGCTCACTTTTGTCTGACTGCTTCAACATAATTAGTAATGGTAGGCAAAGTTTGATTCTTTGTCAATGAAAACTTCAGACAAAAAAAAAAAAAGAGAATGCAATACTTATTTGAAAGATGCACATCTGCAAGCACGCTGAAACACTGAAATTATAAAACCCGAAGACAGAATTCATGTTTCTTGTCTTTTGCATTAAATAAACTCAAAACCTTGCAAAATGCAATGAATACGACTATCATAAAAGTTTAGCTCTCTGCTTGTATTGCACACAAACTAAAACCTACTTAACTCCCTATTCCCTGCTTGATTTTTCTCCCTCTCTCAAAAAAAGCCAATTATTTTGTATTCCTTAAAAGGATATACAATCATAAGTACTAATAAAAACTTCTGTAAATTTTAATGCTTTTCAGAGAGGAAAGATCATCATTACCGGAACACTTCTGTTAGGAAATATCACTCTATCTACAAACACAGATCTCAAGCAATGGACAGCACTTGGCACCTGACAACTGATATTTAACAGACGGGGGAAGTCCCAAACTTTACTGAAAATGCCACAAGAATTTTGACAGACAGAGCTTCTGCATTTCTTACATAAATACAGTATGCATGTGGTAATCCACCTGTAAAAACAAAGGTTAAGTTAGCTCACCGAGGCATCATACTGTACACACGGAGCAAGCGCTCACAGAGCACAGGTGGAGCAAGCCCTAATGAAGCCAGAGTCTCCTGGTGCATGTCTGAGGTTACGTCTGTTTGGGATAATGACTGCAGTTCCTGCAGACTTGCCCAGGCTCGTTCAGCTCCTGCTCGCAGCGTATCCACTGCAGGACACGTAGCACAGGTTGACTCGAAACCGCGTACCCACCACCCCGGCGGGTTTTGGAGCCCACCTTTGCCTGCTCGCAGTTGCAGCCACGCTGCCAGCAGTGCCCCTGAGCTAACCAGTTTGGGATCGCCTCGGGCAGAACTGCATGGGCTCTCCTCTGCGGTGGTGCAGGGCAGATACACCCTTGGGCAACACATAAAGCAGCTTTCCAGAACAGCAACAGGAGCTGCAGCAGTGCCCTACGCCTGTTCTTTATGGCATGCTGTAGCCCAGCTTCTGACAGGGGTTTTTTTCACTCCTTACCTCTCTACCAGCCTACACTCCCAGCCAGCATTTGCCAGGACATGGTTTCATCCTTCCTCTTTTATTTCTTTTTACTTACACATTAGCTTTAGATTCCCTTTTATGCTCTTGATATTCTTTTGCTAAGCATAGGGCCATTCCAGCACGGATGGTCCAAGGGATTCAGTAGTTTACTCACTGCCCAGACAAGTGCCTTAACGCTAGAAAAATCTGTAAAGCCTTTTTTTTTTTTTTTCCCTTTTTTCTTTTTAAACCAGAAACTTTGATATCCAAACAACGTAAATCTGGTCTCAAACCAGTGAAACTTTTGTTCTACTTACAATACGCCCATAGGCCCAGGACTGAAATACACTATGGCAATATCATTGGGAAAAGATGTAGACGTGTCTATAGACCATGTTGCAGCAAAACAGCTATTGCACATAAAGATTTCACACAGCTTGTTTACTTAGTGTAGGAATTTTTAAATTTCATTTTTTAACTTGTTTAGAAAAAGTCATGAAGATCTACGAAACAGTCCAGCAGCACGGCAAAAATACTTAGTGTTCATCTGATGTATTCTAAACATCAAATTTACATGTCAATTTACACCTAATTGATTAGTTTCTCTATTAAAAACATATAACTTCAGCCACTGCTTACAAAGATAGGTATTAGTATTGCCTTACTATAAATGTATTTGTCAATTATTTCAATTTACCAGCCTTGGAGAGAAATAACGTTTGTTATGGATTCTCAGGCTTGTGTTATGAATTTACAAGTCATAAAAGTATGAAGAGAAATAGGGTAACTAGCAAGTTCCTGTATACATAGCTCAGTAGCTAGGAAATCTTCCAGCTGCAGACTAAAACTGCGTAGTAACTTGTTTCACAGCTGGTTGCTTAGGTAGAAGGAGGTTCATACGCATCACCACGAACCTCTCAGCTTCAGCACTGTTGCTGGGTATTTTAAAGAACAAGCTAAAAGGTGCCTCTTCTGCAAATAAGTTTTCAGCCAATTATGGGCAAATTTACAGCAAAAACTAAGATATTAAAAAAACAAAACAAAACAGAAAAAGCCCTCAAAGGAATGTAAAAACAGAACCCTAGAGTGTTTGGAGTTACACTCGGAAAATTTCATCACTGATTTAAGAAGGCTTCACAGGCAACGCACATTCCAGCTGTGACAATTTAACACATTACTGTTCTAGAAGAACAGCATCTAATCCTAATTTTAGCTACAAAAATGTGACACGGTAGATTGTTTTTCCTGGGTCCGAAGGAGTATGCTGAACAGAAAAAGTTACAACAAAAAACATCCCCATGATATTACTCTGTTAAAGTTTTGTAAGAGAAAGTAAAACAAATATGAAAATAACGAAACACATTGTTCATTCAAGTGAAAAGGCAATTTTCTAGACCTCATTTAATGCTTACAGAATTCCCTCCTTATTCCTTTAGCACTTTTATACTGTTTCACAAAAGATTTTTCTTCATAATATTTAGGATATTTTCAATAAGTGAAAATTTTTCAATTTCAATCACTTTCAAACAACTGCAAATTCCTAAAAGACGGCAAATACTTCAATGGTTTTATAATAATAATTTTTCATGTTTCATACAATCCTTTTCTGGAGATGGAAAAATTGGATGCAAAGATTTTAATTTAAAGATTCCATGATATCAGAACCTAGATGACCAGCTAGCCTTGTAACCTGAATACTTGGCTCTCCTACAAAAACTGAAAAAAAATACTAAAACATTCTCTAAGTCATGATTTTAAAAACTATCAACCAACCAAGAGGAAAAGAAAACCCTCTCTTTAAGATGCCAGAGCTGAATGGAGCCCAATCCGAGATCACTTATTCATGTCATTATTCCTTTTAATGATTATTCATGAAAGAGTTGCAAAAGTCAGCTCAGAAAGCTTGTGGAGCTTCAAAGAACAGTCTTGTTTTATTCTCTCTAACCTCAGGGTTCAAAATATCTCTATATGCTATTTTGTTTTATTGGTGCTCTGCATTATAATATATTACATATTGTAACAGATGGAAAATCTAGTAAAACATGTTGTTTATTTAAATATGTATTTAACTGTAGTAATGACTGGAAATAATTAGGACTCCCAGGTATTTTTCTTCAAAATTGCAGTAATGCCTGGTGAACACAAAATATTTCATTGTCTGCCTTTCTAAAAAAAGAAAAAAGGTTTCACTACTTTCATAACTATCCATCAAAACAGCAATTCCAAATTTTGACCAGCTCTAAATTAGAATGTTCCAATGAAAAAATTAATTTGACTGGAGATAACTGAATTGCAGAATGCTCGACGGCTTGGTTTAAAATAGAAGAGGGAAGCGAGAAGAAAGTGTACTCATTTGAAATATGGAAGCATAATCTGCATCAAGCCTATACTATTAGTAAACACCTCCAGTTTAACATCATATTTCATGGCTAAACTATCGATTTATGTTTAAGCATAGAAATATAATGAAGATTACACAGGACAATTAGCTCAAGCCACTAAAGGTAAGCAGTACAGTGGCGATCATGTTAAAAAGAGTTCTCCTCTTTGTATATATTATCACTGACTCCTAGGACAATTCCTATAGAGCAAATAAACAATTCACTTTTCACCGTCTATACTCCGTAATGTTCTCTGCAGTTCTCAGGAGAGCAAAGCTACCTTTGTTTTCCTCTAAGGATTGTATTTGAATAAAATTATCTAAATTAGCCAAGAATACTAAATTCTACAGTTTCTAAAATTTAGGAGTTGAAGTTTGGGGGAAGGAAGCATTGCTCATATTCATTAGTTGTGCAGTATGCGAAGACTACGTTCTATCAGTACTCAGCAATCTACAGCCTCTTAGCTTCCATGCTCTGGTTTTAACCTATTTAGACGAAGTGATTTGTAATATGATTACACAAGCAACTGACTCACTTCCCCAGCAATTATGCTGCAGCTTCATTCAACAGCTTAAACTCTCAAGCAGAGGTGTGGTGAGAAAAAATACGGATGCTATCCAGGTATCCCTGAGAAATCCTTCATATGTTATAAACGCATTACCTTTCAAAATTTCAGTCAAAAATAAGACAGATCTGTTAATTAATTTGCATATTGCAAAGAATGCTCTTTTTTTTTTCTAATTTTTTAAAAGCATTCACAGTGAAGTTTACTCTTTGGAACAGAGACACCTGGTCCTTTGACAAGACACTGTTTGGTCCTCTGTTTGAGTTAATACAGTTACAGGGTGGGGTTTTTCACATTTGCATAAAATAATCTGTTTTATCTGTTGAAACAGACAACTCATACTTCTTTTTCCTTTTTTTAAGAAAGTTAATATACAACACACTGACTTAAATTCTCAAAGATGACCATTCTTTCTTCTTCTCAAATTCTATCATCTCTCCTCCATAAATTCCCTTCTCTTAAGAATAATCACACACTCTTTTCAACTACCGACAGCATAAATATTCTCTATAGAAAGGTTCCACAGAATACACTTTGGTGTCAGACCTATCAACTAGTATCCTAATGATAATGAGTCTAATGAATTTATCACTTTCTTTCAAAAATCCCCAGTCCTACAGGAGTAGTTTTCTACAATGACTGAAAATATGCTTGAAGGAGAGACTTTATTCTAGAAACTTTCACTTTACCACAATTACAGAGTAACAGTTGATGAACAATTAGAAATCTGTAACTTTGAAAAATTTACCACCTTGATGACTTGAAAAAGATACAGCGTTTGTATATTATGTATGACCCTTTTGTCTTTGACAGTGTGACCAGAAAATGCTAAATAGCTCTTTCTTTGATACTTAACCATCATGAAAACAATACAGCAGATTGTGAACTCTGGCCATAAATCAAGATGTGGATCTGTGGATTATATAATTTGAAATCTAAATTCACGCCATACTTCTAAGATTTTAAAAAAGCACTTTTTTTGCTCACAACACAACATATTGCTAATATACTGTAGTTCTATAGCTAAGTCTACAAATTATTAAATTAATGAAAACAAACAAAAAAATAACAGAAACATATAAGATAGGATGTGATAACTTACAGAAGCAGCTCTTCTGCAATTAACATCGCGATCAAATACTGCAGCAATAACCAATGCACTGAGGAAATAAAATATTGAGTATTAGTACCAAAAATATGAGAAGAAATGTGTAACGCCAGCACTTCAACATTCAGACTTCTAAGCAGAACGCACAGCATTTCCTCTAAGGAGCTTATTATTTATAAATACAAGCCTAAACTAAAATTTGAGTTGAAATAACCATGTACTTCCTCGTTTCTCTAGTTTGCCATGGACTTTCCATAGCATAAACAGACAACTGTCATCCCACTGTATCAAAGCAATTTAATGAGAATGCAAATACATTTAACTGCATAGAAAGGTCTTCTATTTTAAATGTAGCAGGAGTTTAAAACTTGGACATAACTATCATCTCTAATGTGAGACTCAGACAGTGCAATTTTAGCTTAAAACTTGGAAATAGTTTCTCAAGAGCCAAAGGCCCAGCGCGTCTTATGTAAGGCTTAAGCAAAACTAAAACTTAAGCAATGGAAACTTGCAGCTATCTCTACAAGAACAATCACATCCTCTAAGTTACAAAAGTCAGAAAACCATATGCAAATTCTGCTAAAAAAGTGACCTGCAAGACAAACTGCAAAGCAGTTTTTTTTTTTAAAAGCAATCTGTAGATACAGAGTCATGATTATACAAAACTATTCCTTTGTGCACGAAGTCTGGTAACCCTGGACAGCTGAATAATTCTACCTCAAAAGAACTGCTTTTAAAAGATGTGCCACACAACAGAAGAGAGGGAATATATCCCAGGACACGAAGTCTACAGCTTTAGAAATCCACCTCCAGCATTCAATTAACTTCAGTGACAAATAAACATCACTTCAGGAGAATCATTTAAGCAGAAAATTATTCCTTTCAAACTCTGAAACTCTTCATTACATTATTTATTGACTCCAGGCAAAACAGGCAATAAATACTGGCTGAAAAGTAAATCCAAGATAGCTTTGCTTTAGCATAAAGATATTAATTACACTGATAATATCAAACTTCCCTGGGTAGTGGCTATCAGATTCCTACAGTGAAGAATACCACGTTGTTAAAATTTGCTGAAATGCACAATCAACGTTGCCTCTGTAATTTCAGTTTATCTCCATTACGGAAAACAAGAGATAGAAAGCAAGAATGAAATGAAAATAAACCCCCAATAAATTGTTCTAAAGACAGTTAATGCTTTCTTATTGCTGCTTGCGCGAGCACTTCCTCCCTCTGCCACAAAGGCATTAGGTGATATTAAGACAATAGGCAGTCATCCAAACGAGAGCAAGTGGAAGAGCAAACGTTTAGGAAGCATTTCATTAGGAAGTAGCATATATGGCAACTGCTGAAAAAGTGCTGGGTCAAATACATCATCTTCACACCATGTTTGCTAATTTTCTTCTCTGGCATAGAGAGAAATTTAAAAATAATTTTAAAAGGACATTTAAGAAGTATATAGTTTTAATGAGATCAATAACTCCCATAAACCTTTTTATCATAGAAGAAAATAATCAAAACCAAGGAACTGGATGAAAACCACCCTGGAAAGAAAAAAGAAGCAAATTTCTACCTGACGTTTCCGATTGTATGGACTATAAGATAAAACAGTATTTGGTCAGTTATGCAGTATTTCAATACTGTTCTCTTCCGAGAACACAGAAAAAAAAAAAAAAAAAAGAAAAAGGAAAAAAACCCACACCAAGAAAGCCCTCATCAAGCTGGGAAGCTCAGAATCCAGAGTGCTGCCCTTAACTGTGTCAAAGGTACCCCGAAGTTAAGCGTTACAGAGTATTTCGGAAG